GAAAGCCGTAAAACTCTTGAACAAAAGCTCATCTTTCAAACCGGCAGTCTAAATCCCACAGGGATCAACGAACGCTTTTCATTCCACTAATTTATTCGTGTTTTTCTCATTGCCATGTTCCCACCAATAACGTAGCTCCATTTTCTGCCTTTAAAAGCACACACAACCCACAATTCCTCTATTCGCTCCGACGAAGGGCTAACGCTCGAAATGTAAGCTTTTGTAATCTTTACAGTGGCCAATTTCAACTTTGTTGATATATCCAAATTTTTTCGTTACCCCCACCGATGCAGCCCCAAACAGTTTCTTTAAAAACTATCAGCCTTTATTCCCTTGTTTCCCTTGGATTTGCTTCACTTGTAATTTCACCCCCGATTTCTTGACCTCCCGATTTCTCCAACCAGTTTGCGTTTCCACTGGAGATTCAAGAAATCGGGATTCCACTGTAGCTCTAACTAAAGGTGCTGCATAGCATACTTATATAATTATCATCACTGTCAAGCATGCATGACAGATATCAAAACTATTGACCTGTTGTGTGGTAATATCCCACTCAGAAGATGTCAAAGCATCCTTGTTACAAATAAACACTGGCACTTGATGATCCAACACTGAGTAAGACTCACTGCTTGTGGCTACATTGCATTTCAGATGAATGGTGTTTGCTTCATCTAAAGAGAGAGAAAGAGAGAGAGGGAGTTTGTCAGAGAGAAACAGCAAAAAAAAAACAAAAAACAATTCCAACAGCCTACTTTGTACTTATAAGTTCCCTGAGGCTGGAGTTTATCCCTGTCAATCTGCAGCTCTGCCACTTTTCTTGCAGAGATACTGTTATCTGCGGCATTTTATTCCCTAATCTTACAGTTCATCAGAAGCCTGAAAAAATCCTGTGTGGAAAGAGGCACAACAGTATACCTTGTAGCCTACAGCCTTCTGCACCCTTTCATCTTGTCAGTGAGGAGTACTGATGAAGAGCTTACATTAAATAAATTTGAAATGTCATCTTTGAAACTCTTCACTGTGGCCAATTAACATTATCTACTCAGTTAATAAAAGCAAAATGACCTTGTTATACTCCCCCACACATGCAGCACTACAGTTAAGAAATTTACCCCATTTGTTCATTTGCACTAATCATGGTAAAAGATGTCATAAATAAACCAGGCAGTTTTGTCCCCTCCACTGATCTTGATTAGAGACCTGTACTCTTGGAAAATTTTATTCCACTTGCTGATTTATTTAAAATTCCACCTAAAATGATCTGTTTACTATTACAAACTGCTTACAAAACTTTGCCTCTAACACCAGTATTTGACAGCAGAATTAGCAAAAAATAATTCACCTATTTGCACTGTACATTTTCCAATCTTATTGAGCTCAACAAAGATTTCTGATAGTATGGATGTAAGAGAAGTTTTTGTTTCCTCTTGTGATATAAATCCATACTCAAGCTGAAAGAAAAAACAAACAAACAAACATAATTTAACAGTTTAGTCCACTTAAGGTAGCTCGTACTAGTTTCCTCGCGTGGGGAACAGGTAACTCTTGCGTCACACACAAGAGAAATGTGCGAAAGAAGCGCGAGATTAAAAGACGAGAATTTAAAACAAAGATGGCAGCGCGAGGATTTTTTCTACTTTTGTGAGAAGTTTACCTAAGAGCGTGTATTTAATGTGTTGAGCGGCCACTGTGAATGCAGGAAATAGAAACTAAGATAAAGAAAACGATTTTCGGAGAAGTAAAGGTTGCTTCACTTTACATCTAAGAGAAATATTCAACCGATATGAAATCTTGTGACGGTGAAAAAAGAATCAAGTGAAGGATAATCTACCTGAAGTGGAAGAAGACTTTAAAACTTCAAGGAAAATAATAATTATGATATAGCCAGAAGTCGTGTGTAGGATTTTTAAGATGAGCCTGGGAGGCTGTCTTCGACAGCTGTTTAATGATTTTCTTAGCAGTAAACGTCTGTAAACATGACAGTACTGAATAACGCATACGCATGCATTAGGTTTTGCTGCAGAAACCCGGACTTTGAGTTGTTCACATGGTTGATTTCCTATTCTGTTGCTTCGAAGCGTCATTTTCCTTGCCGCTTTTCTTTAACAGAACAACCTTCAAAAACTTGGT